TATTATTATTATTATTATTATTATTATTATTATTATTATTATTATTATTATTATTATTACTGTTGTTGTTGTTAAATCTTCAGTGAGATTCACAGCCTTTGGGGCTGGTTGGTAGCTCAACAGTTCGAGTCCTATAAGCTATTCCAAGTAGGGTGTTTTTTTGTAGAATCAGGTTATTCAAGTCTGATAAGTTCAGGATTTCCAAATAGCGAGGCAGCCCTTTAGGTATTGCTCCAAGGGCTCCAATTACAATTGGGATAACACATGATTTCTTTTTCCAAAGTCGCTCAACTTCAATTTGTAAGTCCCGATATTTTGTGATTTTTTTCTTGCTGCGTGTTTTCAATTCATGCATCACCAGGTATTGCAATGTCAATGAACCGGCCCTTTTTCTTTTCAGCTATTGTTATGTCAGGTGTGTTGTAGGCCAAGTACCTGTCATTCTGAATTCTGAAGTCCCACAAGATCTTGACTTTTTCATTCTCCAGAACCTTTCAACCTGATGTTCCCAGTAGTTGTTACTATACTCAAATCCAAACTTTTGGCACAGTTTCCAGTGAATAACAACAACAACAACAACAATAATAATTTTCTTTTATTCATTGAACATGAAACTCAGTCAACTGAACATTTAAAAATGCATCACAAATTCCACTGACTGGTGCTAATGGTTCACACGGGTTGCTGTCAGTGTCCTAGGTATTAACCAAGTATCTTCTTAAAATATACAATTTCGAGTAGCTTTTTTTGCAGTTCCACTGGTGTTATGGCAGGAAGCTACAATTTCTTGATGTGTTTTATAAAATTCCTGGACATGGTACCAAGTGACAATGGGTATCACTGTTACATGTTTCATCTATAACCGTGTAGTTTTGATGGCCAGGTCATGATATTTCATAATTTTTTCTAGTTCTTTTTCTATTATTGTTGTTGTTGTTGTTTTTGTGCGATTCTTGCTATAGAAATACTATAAAGAATGTCACCAATGGTTTCGTAGCATTATCGGTATGCTTAAGAGGGTGCTGACTTTTTGAGTCCACCCTATCTACCTTTCCTTATAAAATACATGGGAAAATCCCACTGGGGGCAAACCCAAG